AACTGATTTCTTAAAACTCAAAAAATTTAATCCCTAACTTAAATTATTGATCTAATTTTCTATCTCTTCTCACATTTGAGTTCATTCACTGGCTTTTTCTCATTCAATTAGTTTAACTTAGATTTTGTCATTTCTTTGTTGCATTATTTTATAAATTATTCAATTAGTTTATAAATGTAGTTTCTTGAAAGTGCTTGTAGGAAATCATTCTGGTCTAATATACGCAGTAAACACTTATCATCTTTGAAATCTGCTTATCTTGAATGCTAGTTTTGTTTGTAGATTTCATTGCTAAATATAATTTTCAGATGGAATAAATCAAATTGGGAAGTGTAGAATTGTTGAATAATATCTTCCGCGACTATTGTTTTGTCACATCAAAGAGTCCATAATGCAAGGCCAAGGCTATTTTCATCTCTTGAGTCTTGAATTTATTAACAAGAGATGAAAGCACTTGGAAGAAAAAAGAGAGTATCTTCGAATAGGTAACTATTTTGTCTCATCCTTGCTCGCCAGAATATAGGTCTAATCCTACTTCATCTCTTGAGTCTGATGATGAATAGATCAAGTGCTTTGGAAGATAAAAGAGAGTATCTTTAAATAGAAAACTATCATGTATGGAATAGGGTGGATATTCACCTTACTGTCCAGCCATTAATGCAACATGTATTAGCTGAAATATTTGCATCTTGAATAATCTCTCTTCAATTGCTTAAATCCAATTAATTTAGCTGACACATGATTTAAGATGTAGATCATTCTATTCAAGGCATCAACAACATTCCTCTATTTATTCTACTTAAAATTTCATTATGGGTAGTGTGGTTAAGTATGTCTTTGCAAGTTCAGTAATCTAGTCATTTTTTCTTGCTATATTTCTTGAGTTCTTCCAGATACATAGACTTCTTCAAGAAGATTTTTATTTTTCTTGTTTGCTAAATAAGACTACTTTCTTATTGTAGAAAAAGAAAACAGTAAGTATCGACGTTGCTGTATTTGTATTTATCTTCGCCATATAACCATGATTCACCAAGATGAATTTTTCTAGCAGTCATAGGCACAATAGTACACCAATTATCATTCTTATAGCTACTACAGATATATAAACTATAGCAGGATGTGTGCTTACCCAAGTGATCATTCTTGTCAGGCCATGTGATAGGGCTTTATTTTAGACTATAGTAGCTTATGATATCACATTCATATAACATTTATAGTCCAGTATTTGTTACCAAACTTGTCAGTGCTCTATGCTAGATTGTGAAGAATAGCAATATGATGCCATTGTTCCATTTTTTTATACCTTCGATATTGCTAAGAATTGCCCTACCACAATATTTGCTGCAGAGTCTGCAGTTTTGAACATTTCTTACTGAAAACAAATAGAAAATCAGGGCATTTTAACGAACACCCTTCATTGCAAACTTGTCAGGCTGATTTCCACAAGCTTTTTAAAATCAATTCAACTTTGGGTATAATTGGCAACAACGTTTCTATCTATCATCAACATGAACAAAAACAATAAACCATCAATAATTGATGTGTACTTATGTACTTATGAATGATTTTTAATAAACTAGAAGGGTTAGATACTTAGATTTTTTTTGCATTCGTTCAGCTTGTATGATAAAAAAGAAGTATATTCCCCACTAGTGATGAGTGTTTTGTAGGAACTTTTATAGCAGAAAGCAGTAGGTGAGGCAAACTTTATAATTGCTAGCTAGGGTATTGTTATTTAATTGACTAGATAACAGACTAAAAAACAAGTAATTTCGAGTTTAGAACATTCTTTATAGGTATAACATACTTAAATTAATTCTCTATAGGTATCTTTTAGTTGCTTACATTTGAAATTGATATTTCAGAAATACGAAATAGATAAGAGTTGGATGGATTTGTCAAGGGTAACTGACAGCTATCGAAATGGAGTAGAAACTTTTCTAAATTTAGCTTTTGAAAAGGCAAGCCAGGAGAATATGATTATTTGCCATTGTAAGAAGTTTGCTAACATTAATTATAATATTCGTCAAGTTGTCTATGATCATCTCATTGTTTTTGGCTTTGTTCGGAGCTATAAGAAATGAATATTCGTCAGGTTTTGGAGTTCAAAGAAAGGAGAGGTATGATGCACTTTGAAAATAATATTATGTCACTAAATTATTGACTTTATAAGTCATGTGGAGTTCAAATTGTAGGACCGAGAGCACGTTGGTATTGCTAGTAGGCAACAACAAAAGTTTACTCACATTGCTGGATCGAAGAGCTTTGCTCGTGTACATCATGAACAGGTATTCACGTTTTTATTATGATTATTCATATAGTCATTTCAAGTTGGTAGCATATAGGCATATAGTTTTTAACCATTTTTTTCTATTATTTCTTACTTTTTGTAAGTATTAATTTATATTCTACATTGTAGTAAATAATGTCCGACAGTAGAGTTGGTCGAATACAACTCTTTGAAATCACACATACAAAAAAGATGTCTCTCCTATGGCTCCTGAAGCTGCATATATTATGGTATATTTACTGGACATATAATTTTCATTATGTTATATTGATAGTATGAAATTGTGTATTTTAAATAATTATTGAATTTGTTCTACGTTCTAAATTGATTATTAGGAAAAATTGAGCGATAAAAGGGTAGAATACGAAGCTACGACTTCATCCCATGCTTCTATTAATGCGGAGGAGATTGAAAATCAAGTTATTGCTGAAGTTTTCGGTCCTGAAAGATATAGTCGAGTTCGCTGTCAGGGATCATTTGTTAGTCCAACCAAATTCTTTGGATCCTGCTCGTCTCAGTACATGTCATCACACAAACAGTCATCTCAACAAGAAGTTATTCGATTAAAACAACAGCTGAGTGAATTTGATGAAAATATTGTTCAAATGAAAGCCGAAGCTGAAGCAAAAGAAGCAGCAAGAGAAGCAGAGAGAGCAGAGGGAGAAACATCATTTCAGAGAAAATATGAAGAAATTCAACAACAAATTAAAGCTATGAGGAAGATGATGCAGTAGAATCAAACGAAGAATTTATCATCCTAGGTGTTTTTTTAGCTTAATACTTACTTTATGGAAATTCAGAGTTGTTAAACTACATAATATTTAACTTCAAAGTTTGTAAACTTTGATTTATTTATGTTTTTATGTATTATTACTTAATTCGAATCTTAATTAAATTTACTATAAGTTGTTGGATATTGTTATAGGTTAAATTTGGGTAATACAAAATACGAAAAAATATGTTAAAATCAGTTTCGATTAACGGTATTTTAGGGGGAAAACGCAACTAATGGAGTGCATATATACCGGCGTTTAAACGATTAAACGCCGCTAAATGACTAACTTATTGCGACATTTCTGTCAGACACGCCGCACATATCAAATCTATTGTGGCGTTTTTTTACTACAAACGCCTCTATATATCAAATATATTGTGGCATTTTTTACTACAAACGCCGCGAAATATTTATTCTATTACGACGTTTGTGGTCACAAATGCCGCTAAATATCGAACATGTTTATACAAAACGCCTACAAATATCAAAAATATTGCGGCGTTTGTATTCTAAAATGCCGCTAAATAACCTGACTTTTAACGGCATTTATAAGTAGAAAACGCCGCTAATAGTTGCGATGGCCGTAATGGCGGTGTTTTTTGTGGTTTTTTGCACCCACAGTATTTTTAGCGGCGCTTTTAAACGCCGCTATTGACCACTTCTGCTGTAGTAAGAAGATCAGATCAGATCAGAAAAATTTAAACTATAGGTTTTCTTGTTATTTTGTAAATTGTTGGCATGTATCAAAATGTTTAAATTGAAATGCTCTGATCCGTTTTGTAAACATACTATTTTATATTTATGTAAATTATTAAGTATTTACTTTAAATGTGAGTTTGGATTTTCAAAAGTAAATTTGATTTAAAGGTTTCACCACTTGAATAATAATATAAGTTTAAAATTTTCAAAAAGTTTTCATCAAGTCAAGTTTTTAAAAAGTCAATGTACTACATCGGATTCGTATCCGGGTCGGGTACGGGTTGAGGTGTTACATTTAAGGTCTTAAAAATATATATATAATATTCGATTAATGTTAATGAAAATATGTGATTGAAAATATGTCTTTAGTTGTATCAAAATTGTTTATTGCGAGATCATGCCGGGAGTAAATGAGGTTTGTTGTTGTTCCGGCATAGTATCTTGGACAGGAGACTAGAGTATACCAATTTGATTTAAAGAAATGAACTTTAACACTCCATAAAACTAAAATAAATAAGATTCAAACCTCATCAATTATTTAAATTAGAAAAGAGAGAGAGGATATTCTAATCAAGATTTTATTTTCCAATTGTAAATTGGAAGTCAACTGATACATAATAATAAAGACATTGATCATCAAATATTATTCTAGATTTATTAGACATTGAAGAAGAGAGAAGCACATTGCAATAAAAAATAGCAGTCCGCATGGATGATTGAGTAGAGATTAAGTTGCAGCGTTGACGGAAGCCACCGCTTTGAGTAGAAAGGCAAAGAGATGAGTAGGCGTGGAGAAAAATGGGATGTGATCACTTTCCAAAGCAAACACTAGAGAGGGCGGCCACCTTTTCAGCATCGCCTCCTGTCGTTCTCGCTTCAACACTCGATCCTGCTATGTCTTTATATACACTCTTGGCACGCTCTCCGTGTCGACTCCCTCAGTAAATTGAAGACCGGAAAATGGTCTCATAGGTCCCGGTCGCACCAGCATCGCAGCCAAAGTCGAGTTCTGATGATGATGATGATCATATTTCAAGTCCCTCACTATCATTATGATGATGATGATACAGTGGCGGATCCAAAAATTTAAGAATAAGAGTCCAAAATTTTAATTTTCTTTTCTTAAAAATAATAGGTATGCAAAAATTGTAATTTTTTCTTTTTTTCTTAACACATTAAACTAAATTTAACCATTTTTCTAAAAATAATAGGGATGCACTTGACCCCTATGAGGGTTTAGTGCATCCGCCACTGCGATGATGATGTTGTGCTCACCTCTATAGAGCTTAAATGATAAAGAATTTTGCGTTGAAACTCCTCCTTGATTATCATGCTGGTAGTGGGCTGATCAGCTCCTAAACCATATATTTTCTCATTTACATCACCATACACGGATAAATCTAGATCTCCCTGCATGTTCCAGTTTATATATCACCATTAGTTTTCGACTATTAATTTATCTTTTAAACATAAAAATATATGCATAGCAAAAGTGTGAATTAAAGGAAACTTAAAACGATACACATGCATTTTGGACATTAATAACTTATTATATACCATACTACATGCATAGCAGGAGTGAAAGCCGGGACTTTGACACTCTTTCCTCAAACCCTACTATAAATTTATTAAAATATCGGCCCTAGAAATTTACAATACAAGCTGGATTCATCTCTTAACATAATATTTCTCAAATCATCCTACGCTACCCGAATTTTCTCCGGCCTATTCACGGTTCCTCGGGATTGATGAGCTTCAACGCAGGCCAGCGCAACCGGAAGACGTGCAAGGTTGACATCTATTGCGATTCGCGCTGGCACTTAGAAAAAAAATAATGAATCTTAATAGTTTAATTTCAAATTAATGTCCTTCTAAATATTATTGTAAAAACCCAAAGGATAAACTACACTGACTTAAATTAGTAGTAGTAATCACTTTCTTATTGATAAAGAGATGGTAAAAAGAAGAGAGTGAATATGATGATGTATTTATAAATAAGAGAAGAAATGTAATTACATCTTCATAATCTTGGGGGGTGACGAACCCATGTTTGAGCATAGTAGCACTGACATAAATGGCCATACGAATTTTGTTGACAAACTTGCGCATGGCGTAGGTTAAGCTATGACCTCCAGCACTGTGTCCGACCAGTATCACCTGCCTTTGCCAAAACTAATTAACTTATAATTTATATATTAGCAAATCCTGTAAGAGTAGTAGTGGTGGTGGTGAAGTTTACCTTTTGATTCTGAGGTAAGTTGGAGAGGAGGTTAATCAAGGGTTCGTTATAGTCTTGGAAAGTGAAGATGGTGTTGGGATCGGATGGATCTATGCCCGAGCCTTTGAGGTCAATACAGCTGACCTTGTAGCCCGATGCTTCCAGTAGACTCCTGATTTTGTACCAGCACCAGGCTCCATGCCCGAACCCATGCACCATTACAAAGTGAATCTTTTCGCTTGTCTCGCTCATCTCTCGATCTGATCTATTCTGCTCTGCTCTCTTTCTTAATGAAAGAAAGATGCCTCTGCTTGCGAGTACCTTCACCTCTTGCTTAAGCTTAATCACGCTTCCATTTATTTCCTATTGGCTATAAGTATAGCTTAACCACTCTGTCCAGGCTGTCCTACCTTTTCATTTGCTTAAAATTTGAATGTCCAACTTTGAAGTTGTTTTCGTATCCATCTCTCAAAAATAATAAATATATTGATGGAAACAAATGGATTCGGACAACAACAGATAGTTTGAACAGAAAAATATAGTTTGTTAAGTTTGCAGTTTGTTATTCTGTTTCTAATTAGTTAGAAACAGTTTTGAGTTAGTTAGGTGGTTAGATTAGATGCTTGTATATATATGTGAACAAATTGTAAGTTTATGTGAAGTGTGGATATGAAAAGTAATTTTTCATTTTCTTGTTGTACATTTTAACATGGTATCAGGCTAATTCGATATTATTGGGCCTTTGTTCTCATTTTTTTGGTTCCACATTTCTGAAGCAGCTCGGTTTGAACCATCGACGAGACTGTTACAATGCCACCGACGATGGTTCCGATGGCAGATTCCACTGTAGTCGACTTCAATCATCCTCTGTATCTTAATCCTTTGGATACTCCTAGCACGATTTTAATTTCGCATCAACTGTCTGGGCTAGACAACTACACCATCTGGAGTAGATCGATGCAAATCGGGCTTTTCGCCAAGAATAAATTAGGGTTCATAGATGGAGTTTGTTACCGCGATGATTTTCAACCCCTCCTTCAAGCTCAATGGGATAGATGCAACTCCCTTGTACTTTCATGGATCATCAATTCGGTGAGCAAGGAACTGTCTGCTAGTATCATCTTTGCCTCAAGCGCATCTTTAGTTTGGGCAGATCTCAATGAACGCTTCGATAAGGTCGATGGCTCACGAGTGTTGTTCCTTCATCGTGAGATTGTGACAATGGTTCAAGGTGAGTTTTTCGTTTCTGCATATTTCTTGTGGTTGAAACTTCTTTGGGATGAGTATGATGCATTGGTACCTCTTTCGAATTGCACCTGCGAGAATGCTCAGTCTAGTTCAAGGCATATTTCTCAACAGAGATTGTTCCAATTCTTAATGGGATTGAATGACTTATATACTGCTATTCGAAGCCAATTATTGTTGATGCAACCTTTACCTTCAGTCAACAATGCCTACTCTATGATAATTCAAGAAGAATTCCATCGTCTTCAGTTGTCTGGTATTATCCCTCTTATGGAGTATACAACATTATACTCTAATGCTTCTGGTAATTGTCGAAAGTTCACTGGACCCTATGATCACTGCAAGGTGAAGGTCCATAAGAAGGAAAATTGTTACAAGCTTATTGGTTTACCTTACTTCAAGTTCAACAAGAAAAAGGGCTCCCAAGCTGCCATGGTAGCTCATTCTGATCATGAGGTAGTTTCTCTAGCTCCACCAGTCTTTACATCTGAACAATATCAATAACTTTTGGGGCTTCTGAGTCAAGCTTCAACTCAGAATTCTAGTCCAGATTCCTTTGTGAATTTGGCAGGTACTTTTTGTTCTCTTGCTCATGTTTCAATTGAATGGATTCTGGAGCAACTGACCATATTCTATTAGACTTTATATGCATGATTGATCATTTGCCTTGTACATCCACACCTAGATTTGTTCAACTACCTAATGACAAATCTTTTGCTATCACTCACATAGGTTATGTTAAATTTCCAAATGGTCTTCAATTGTTTAATGTGCTTCATGTGCCTCATTTTACTCACAATCTTATCTCTGTTTCCAAATTAGCTCATTAGTTAAAATGTGATGTCTTGTTCTATCATGATCTTTACATCTTGTAGGATATTTACAATGGCATGATGAGGGTGATTGGTAAAGAGTTTAGAGGTCTTTATCTGCTCAGGTTCCCTTTAATTTCTGTTTTTTCTGTTTCTGCCTTACAAAATTCTGCATGTAAATCTTCTGTTAGTTTTGAGTTTTTTTTTCTCAATACTTGTAAATCAGTTGATGCAAATAAAACACATCTTTGGTATACTCGTTTAGGGCATGTTCCATATTCCCAATTAACAAATTACCTATGTTTCATAATACTAATTTGTATCATGATTCTGTTTAAAATTTCTCTATCTGTCCTTTAGCTAGACAGTCTAGGCTTCCATTTCCAATCAGTAGTTCTAGGACTGCTAATCCCTTCAGCTTGATTCACATTGATTTGTTGGGGCCTTATCGAATTTCCACTCATGCTGGTCAACGTTTTTTCTTGACCATTTTTGATGACTATATTAGGATGTCTTGGGTGTACTTATTGAAGCTCAATAATGATGTTGTTTCTTATTTTTGAACCTTTATTTTAATGGTTCAAAATTAATTTTCTGTCTCAGTTAAAGTCATACGTAGTGATAATGGTCGTGAGTTTTTTAATTCTGAATGTTCTCCCTTGTTTGAATCATTGGGAATTATTCATCAAAGTTCTTGTGTGCGTACTCCTCAACAGAATGGGGTTGCAGAACGTAAGCATAGACATTTTTTAGAAGTTGCTCTGGCTCTTCGTTTTCAGTCTCAAGTTCCTTTCAAATTTTGGGGAGAATGTGTGTTAGCTGCCTGTTATATAATTAATAGGTTGCCCTCTTCATTCTTGTCTTGGAAAACCCCTTTTGAACTATTATATCATAAACTTCCTTCTTATGACCATTTTAGAGTTTTTGGATGCTTATGTTTTGCAACAAATCTTAATCCTCATGATAAGTTTGATGCTCGTGCCTTTGCTTCTGTTTTTTTGGGATATTCTCCAACCCAAAAGGGTTATTTGCTGTTTAATCTTGATTCGAAAAAAAATATTCAATAGTAAAGATGTTAAGTTTCATGAAGATAAGTTTCCTTTCATCAATCTTCTTCCCTTTATGATTCTACTTCTGTTTTTCCCCATCTACTCATTTTGTTCCTGATGGTGATTTTCTGATATTAAACTCTCCAAGTTCTCAAACTTCTGTTTCTCATCATAATGATCTTATTGAGCTGGTTTCTGTTGATGTTGAACATAATTCTCAAGTTCCAGTCCAGTCTTCTGGTTCAGTAAGTGCACCTGTCCCTTCTAGAAAGTCCTATAGAGTGTCTAAGCCTCCTTCTTGGTTAAATAATTTTGTATGTTCTTGTTAATATTCTTCATCAACTTTCAGTTCTCTTTCTTATTCTCACTTACCCATTCATACTCAAGTGTTTTTATCTTCTATTTCTCAAATTTCTAAGCCTCTCTTATTATAAGGCTGTTCAAAATCCACTTTGGGTTCAAGCAATGAAAGAGGAATTCATGCTTTGGAATATAATAGAACTTGGTCCATTGTTCCATTACCACCAGGAAAATTTCCTATTGGATTTAAGTAGGTTTACAGAGTTAAGTACAAATCATCAGGTGAGATTGAGAGATATAAAGCTCGCTTGGTTGCTAAAGGTTATAATCAATAGGAGGGAATTGATTTTATTGATACATTCTATCATGTGGTCAAAATGGTTACCATTCAAACTATTTTAGCTCTTGCTTCTGCCTTCAATTGGATATTGTTGCAAATGGATGTCTTCAATGCCTTTTTGCAAGGAGATCATTCTGAGGAAGTCTATATGCAGCTACCTGAAGGTTTTTGCAGTCAGGGGGAGAGGATTATATGTAGACTGCAAAAATCATTGTATGGTCTTAAGCTAGCCTTTAGGCAATGGAATCTGAAACTTACAGAAGCCTTGGTTTCAACTAGCTATGTTCAGAGCAAGTATGACTACTCTTTGTTCATCAAAAGAAAGCAAGGTAAAATGGATATGTTATTAGTCTATGTTGATGATTTGGTAAAAACAGGTGATATCAGTGAGTTGATTACTGAATTGAAGCAAATGTTGAATAGTCATTTTAAGATGAATGATTTGGGTAAACTAAAGTATTTCTTGGGAATTGAAGTATTGAGGTCAGAGGAAGGTATACTTTTGAATCAAAGGAAGTATGCACTTCAGTTAATCAAAGACACTGGTGTGGAGGAAGCCAAGTCTGTTTCTACTCCATTAGAATAGAATTTGAAATTGACTACCTTGGATTATGATAAGTTGTGCAGCATGATAATGAAGATGAATATGATCTAGTTGAAAGGTTAATTTACCAAAGACTCATTAGGAGATTGATTTATTTGACATATACAAGGCCTGACATTATATATGCAGTGAATTTTCTCAATCAATTCATGCAACAACCTAAGAGGTCTCATATGGAGGCAACCTTAAGAATAGTCAAGTATGTTAAGAAGGAACCAGGACATGGAGTCTTGTTAAAATCTTCTTTAGATTGTCAAATTTCATCTTATTGTGATTCAGATTGGTGGTCATGTCCATTGAAAAGAAAATCTGTGACCGGGTTTTGCATTAAGATTGGTGATTCACTAGTTTCATGGAAATCAAAGAAATAAAATGTTGTAGCAAGATCTTCAGCAGAAGCATAATATAGAGGTATGGTAGTAGTTACTTCTGAGCTGGTATGGTTACAAGGCTTACTTGCATAACTTAGTATAAAAGGCTTGAAACCAGAAAAAGCTTATTGTGACAATAGGGCTTCACTTCAAATAGCTACCAATCCTGTGTATCATGAAAGGACAAAGCATATTGAAATTGATTTCATTTTGTAAGAGAAAATACAGGAATGGGTGATTCAAACATAACATGTTTCAACATATGAATAATTTCCAGGCATCATGAAAAAAGCTTTGGGAAGTCAGCAGCATAGTTATCTTCTATCCAACTTAGGAGTTGAAAATGTTTTTCAACATCCAACCCGAGGGGGAGTGTTAAGTTTGCAGTTAGTTCTTATGTTACTAATTAGTTAGAAACAATTTTGAGTTAGTTAGGTGGTTAGATTAGATGCTTGTATATATGTGAACAAATTGTAAGATTTTGTGAAGTGTGGATATGAAAAGTAATTTTTCATTTTCTTGTTGTACATT